AGTATGATATGTTTCACAGATCTATTAATTCAGATCGATGTATCCATGAAATGTAAAAGAGTTTACTTTAAAAATGCATTATTAAAGCCTTATCATTTGGAGTATAAATTATGCTTAAAATTTCCGTCTGTTGTAGAGACATAAAAAAGGGCATGTGTAAACAAATGCTATTTCTAACTGTTAATTTTTCTAACAACTTCGAATATAAGATTTATGCGTTTTGTTTGTAAGATAATTTACAATTTGCAGACTAATTAATAAATTGAATTTACGGATACCCGTTTCTTTATGTATGTTGTATGCCTGTAAGGCAAATAAGGAATTTTAAAATTTATGATCCTAATATTTTTTCCGCTTCTCCCGAAGTAAAATGTTTTATTGCACAGAAAGAACTGGATATTGCCATTAGAAACAGGATAATGAAATTAGTAAATTAAAGTTAATCATTTAACTGCATGTAATGAAAATTAAAACATAGAAACGCTTAAGTTCATCAGAATGTTATATCATGATATTTACAACGTTGGATAATACTGAGTTGATTGAAATGTGCGGAATTACAGATTTCTTTCTGTTAACAGATTTTTTAGAGATATTATTATCAGTATTCTTTACAACAGTTTATGTGATATATCCGAAAGTTTTGATATGATCTGGTAATTCATCGTTTCTCTCGTAAGAAAACTGCATTTTCCTGGAACCAGAATGATATAATTAATATCCTTCCATTTTAGCTTGCGTTGCTCATTTCGCATTTTGTCTTAAAAATTCGATTAATATTTATTTTACCTTTACATTTCAGGGATGAAAGATTTCTGATGAGTATTCCCATAGTTCTGGAGATTTAAGTGTATTGCTTGTTGAAAAGAAGAACTTTGAAGCTAGGTGTCAATAGAGATGTCAACCATGCCCTTCTCACTACTCGAGCTCGAGAATAAGGGTTTATTAAACAGATATACACTGGAACAACTCACGAAGAGAATGCCTAAACTCTTTACAAGCCCACGAATTTTCTGAGTATAACTTCCTTTTTAATTACAACCGGTAAACAAACAAAAAAATATTCTTTGATAATGCTATCATCATCTTCATCAAGTTGCAAGTGACTGTGTTTTAAAATATGATTTTGTTTTAAGTCTTAAGAGTCAACTGATCTAAAGCATTTCTTGACTTGAAAGGAATTCAAGTGCCTTAAGTTAACAAAAATAATATACAGCTCATTCGCCAAACTAAGAGGACGAAAGTAGATTAAGTTGGAATAGCTATTAAAATATCATTAACACCTACAGAAAAAAATGGAGCTGTTAAAGAATGCATTAGAGGAAAAAATATAAGCTTTAACTAAAGGTCTTGGGGTACATTTAAATGAAATAATAGCTCAAATCATAATCTAAAATTTTCCTTTTCTCTTAGTGTTTTTAAGTTTTTCAAATTACGCTTACTCAAATTTTTAACATTGTAAAAACTTTTATTACCGTTATTATAATTTTTGTAAATAGGAACTCAAATTTAAAACTCAGGCATAAAAGTTTACATATATTTTAAAAAATTACGAGAAACTACAGTTTAACGTAATGTATTTGGTTTCTAAAGAAAATGCAAATGTAACAAAACATTGAACTCACAGCAGTACTAAAAAGGCATCACAGGAAATTCTTTCCTAAGTCGGTGATTACAGACTTTAATTAAATTTGCATACCCAGGAAACACCCTTTTTTACTGTATGCATTCAACTGATCTTTTGAATTAAATAAATAAACATTTCTGTCTTGACTTATGAAACGATATAAGCTTTGACAGCATGAATGAAATAAACAGCAGAAATATTACGCAGTTTGAACGATGAAGTCTTAAACCAAAGCAGTACTTCAATAGCTTGAATTAATCTCTTCGCGTAAGTTAAAATCACATGAATCAAGAACAGCTACCCTTAAGCGTTTTGAATGCAAACTGAGATGCAAAGAAAAATCTTAAATTAGAAAAGGCGAAGAGATGGAAATGTCTGTGGCATGGACGCACTTACTTTATTTCACAAAGGGAAAAACCTCTTCTCTCCTGTCCTCCCATAACATGAAGGAGTGGCCAATATTTTCGCTAACTGCATGCTGTGCATTTATCGCATCAGGTAGAAGTGCATTCTCTAGCATTAAATTTGGCGTAACTTATTATTACGTTTAGACATTATTGTCAGTTTTTAACCACATTTAACAATGTTTTTACCCTAAAGATTGTGTACAGTGAAGCGTTTTTTGTTAATTTCCAAATCACGAGTCATGTCATAGGTTTGCCATGAGTTGATTTTTTTTGCTAACTTTAATGCTCATTGTTCAGCAAAATTTGAGTTATGTTGAAATATAAAATAATTGATCCACATTTGTTTAATTTTTATTTAATGTTGTTTATTCATTATTTAATTTCGTTAAATCTTATCACGAAATCTCAAAAAATATATACAACTTTAAAGTTGGATTTGTTTTCTACTTTTAATTTTCCCATTTTCATTATAAAAATATGAACTGCAAAAATAAATAAAAAGAATCAGTGACATAATTATATGTTTTGTGTGTAAAACTGTATGCCTAGTGAATCAGTACTCTTCGTACTTCCTAAATTAATCTACAACCTAAGCGAATTAAAACTACGATCTGTGCCACGGAAAAGAAATTCCCACACGCTACAAATTCATAGTCTTATATTTACACTGGTCGTCAAAATTAAAAGATATTGACACAAATAAAACTTAACTGCTTCATTCTGAAAATCACTGAAATAATTTGTACAAGATTATAATTTAGCATAAATTACAATGTTTGCTGCATAAAAATTGATCTTCCCTGTTTTGCAGCAAATAATATTTTAATATGATGTGTAGTCACTTCTAACACAAATGAACACCTGACACATTGATTTTATAGAATTCAGCTGAGTGCTGATTTACCAGTCACTCTTCTGAAAGTATACTCCAGATTCTTCCACGCTCCAATGCGGTGGCCTCAGACATTCCACATATGTTCAGTAGATTTCAAGTTTAGTGAGTAAGGTGGCTAATCCATTATTGAATATCTAAGAAAATTGCATGGAATTTCCAAAAGTGTAATTAACTGCAGGTCGCCTAGAAGTGAAAGTAAAAACGAAAGTATTATTTTGTTTTAAACAGGTCTTGAAGTGATAGAGCTAAGTCAGCAGCTAGGTATTGATATGGATATGAATTTAAAAAATGACGTAATCCTTTAGGTTGAGGATGATTGCCTCTGCTTTTAAAGAAGTAAATGCAATTCTGCTGAAAGTTAAGGCTAATCTATTAAGGCAGAGCAGCTCGAGGGCTATGGATCAATGAGCAAGGATAACTTCTTAGAGGACTTTCGAAGAAAATCTGGTTCGTATCTGCATTATACACAGAGAAAATCACGAAAATGCCCATGCAGCCAGCCCGTTCGCCGGAATTCGAACCCAAATCGAACTTTACCGCTAGTTAAGGAGTTAATGAAAAAAATCTCAAGCTCTCGGTTTTACTGACCATCAGGTAGTAATCGCTAAGTTTGGGGCCATTTATCGCCAATCGATATAACAAGTCCAAAACCATAATTAAAACTAAGTAATCATAGATTTAAAGTCTTTCTTTTCGCTCTTAAAATTTATTTATTTTCGGATTCTAAACGATGATAAATTTCAATTTACCGTCATGTGAAAATGAAGCTTTTGCATTCCTTTAAGAAAGGAGTCTTATTTCCTCTACACGAATCATGAAAACATATTTTATTTAAGCAGGAATTTACACTTTTGGAGATAAAATAATTTTTTCCAACACATGTGTTAAAATTTCTTTATTGAAAAAAAATTTTTTCGTCGTAATTTAGGAACCATTAAGATGTTTGATATATTTATGAAGTTCAAATTGCTTAAGAAAGGAAATTATTAACTATAGAAGAAAATCAAGAAACAAATTTCATTTTACGAAGAGTGAGCGTTTTTGATATTAGTAAAATGAAATTTATAAAGTAATGATTCTGGGAATTTTATTCTCTTTTCTACATCTTATAACATTATTCCTTTAAATACTGTAAAAAAATAACTACAAAACAAATTGCTTCTTGAGAGCTTCTTTTTTGGCTGCATTAATTCTTGTCCAGCAAAAAACGTAAGTTTACTCATTAATGAATACATAGAATAACGGGTTTTCCATAGCAGACACGAACAGCTCTGAACAGGTTAAATCTGGTATGTAAACTGATTACCATCTAAAATGATAGTCGGCTTTTCTAAAGCGATCATCTGCAAAGAAAAACGAAGTTGTCTTGAGATGTGGGTGGTCATCTCAGAAATAATTCCCTGTATATATGACAGAAGATGATCAAGTCTTATCTCGTTGGCCTAGCAGATAATCTCTTAGCTTTGAGTGATAAGACTGATTCTATAGTGATTGTACAATCGAGAGAAGAGAAACGGTTTTAAAATTATATGAATGTGTCTATTAAATTACTTACTGTGAATTTTAACTATCTGAATTTTACAATATTATTCACAACAGCATATTATTGCCCTTAAAATTTCTTTTCACTAATGCAAATGCTAATTTTTTTCTAATTAAAAAAATTATTTAAATATAATATTTTATAAAGATGAAATAGTTATCTTAGATTTCTTACGATCCGTCAGTGGCTGAGAAATTATAACTGCGGAATACTATGTGTTGATTGGTTGTTTTTTTATCACTTCTTTCACTATCTTTTCTAAAGAATGCAAATTATAACGAAAGAAACATAAAAACACGAGAAACATAAAAATTGTATGAAATTTTAAGGAAATATTTTTATATTTATATGTATTACGATATTTTATTAAAAAGCTATTTTAAAAATTGCCTCTGCATATATTTTCCCAGAAATCTGTGGTATCATACCTTCCTTGTAACTGTCGCAAGTTAAATCTGAAAGAAATTAATGCTATATATGGAAAAAATAATTATTAAGTAATATGTATTGAATAAGCAACTACTTAAATTAATGCAAAAATATTTAATAATCCAAAGCTATTATATTAAAAATAAATAATTTTATCTAAATCAAATATCTGGAAAAATAACTATCATATTATGCTTAACAGAGAATTTAATCCTCATGCACAATCACAAGATTCAACTTTCATATTCTCAATGCTTTTGTGATAAAATATTCCTTCTTCGTTTTGATAGATTATTGAAATAGGAGACATAGCAGATGGCGTACAACACATATTAAGGCCTATTTCTTCAGCTATATCTTTGTTATCTCTTATATAGCTCAGCAGAACTGCACTATGATAAAATCGTGTATTACTTAAATCGTTAAAGCATCTACCTCTACAAAAATTCGCATCATATCCCTCAGGGTGAAGGATCCAATTATCCCAACCAATTTCAGCAAAGTTTAAGTAAAAGTTCTCCCGACAGCAAGTGCTACCATCTACGCAGCTGCTAGTACTTCGTCTATTTCTGTAGGATACTTCTTTGTTATAGCCGCGTATGATTACAAAAGGTTTTTCACTTCCAGTCTGTAACACTGGGCTTTCTTTACTGGTGACATTTTCACCATAAGTGACTTGAATGGAGAGGATGCGATTTTTACCAAAGTTGTCCCTAAAGCTGGAAACTGGTATCTTGAATTTAATCCAATGATCTTCACTTCTGCTTTTATCCTTATTTAGAAGAGAGAAATTTGTGTTTAAATCTTTTACAGAAACTTCTGTAACAGCTTCATAAACTCTGATTGATTTATCTATGTCTGTTTTGAAAAGCCAGATTTCTGCAGATGTAAATGTTTCCAGATCAACATTTCCACTCAAGAGGAAGTCAAACCGTATGCATGGAAACATGTCGTTTTTACCACAGGAAATATTTTCTGAAAAAAAAAAAGTGTATAATTTAAGTGCATAAAATGTCTTTCAAGCGATCATAAATGAAAAATAAAAACAGTTTAAAAGGAATCTACTTATTAGAATAAAAATAAAACTTGACAAATACGTATGTTCTTATAGGAACCATAATTTTTTGCATGTAATTTTAATTCACATTTAGGAACTAAACAAAATAAGGAGCAAAGATTTTAAATTAATATTGCCAATATTTTTGGGAAATTGAAAGAATAGGCTGCTCTTTTTTCAAAGTAGTCAAGATCAAATTTCGGTTTGCTTTAATTTCAGCGAAATTCTCTGTACATTTCAAGAAAACTTAACGCATGACTTTTCTAAAACCTAACAGGTCTACATAAGAAATATTTATTCTTGATGAAGAAATTTGTGCCTCAAATGTTTTCGAAATGCATCAACAGCGGTTATTTAAATTTTACACAAATTTAATGTCTAATCTTTCCTAATATCAAAATTTAAGCTGGCATACCTATTGTAAAAATTCTAGGAATTCGTTCATTGCATATTTTCTTATAAGATACTAGAATAGGGATTTAAACTACCCCTTTTAAAAGAACGACTTTCTTTTTCGACCCCCTTACGTTTTTCTCTATATTCTACAAAATAAAAAATAGTTTATTAGACTTATGCTTTATTATTTTTGGCAATATTATTTTTAATTTGACAAATTAACAAGTCTTCAGAAACAAATTCCAAGATTCCTAACTGCACAAATGTTTGATTTTAATGAATGTGAAGGCTACACTTGATATACAAAGTTTTTAACCTCTGGCATAAAATTGCTTAATTTAATTTTTAAATTACTTTAGCCTCTTTCTTGTTTTCCGTTTAAATTACTGATTTGACTAAAGTCTGCTTCTACTAAGTAAGAAGATGGTAAAATCAATTGTGGTTCAAGAACAACTTTTATTAGGGAATATTTCTCTCGGATGAGTTTTAACTTCTAAAACTTAGCTCTCATGTATTTTAAACAATAATTGAATAGCCTTCTTCAATGCAATTATCACTTCTTGCATTATAATATTAAGATCAAATATGTTGCAGGTTTTTTAATGTAATCGATTATTCCGATCTATTGCTGGTGCATATTCAACTATCGATTCCCAATCGACCCCTAGGTCATCATTAAACCCATTTAAAATTTCCTCGACCCCGTTGAAAACCCTCTCAGTAAACATTATAAATTTAAGAAAAAAACAAAACAGCGGTTTTATAAACTCAGGTCTTATTATTCAGCAGGCTTTGTTTTAAGTGGATAACATTTAAAATCCGCCATTTTTAGCTGATTTTCATTTTAAGGTCTTTTCTTGCATGGATTTTATTTTATTTTTCTTTATTTTTGAATACAGATATTTCTTCACTCCTTTCCATACTGTTCTGTTTCAACTATTCTATTTTTCTGCTCGTGGAACCTTTTGCTCGTGGATACATCTACAAAGCAAAATAGTATTTGCCTTGTAGATGTAACGCAAATTCTTTACTTTTTAAATATTGTTCCTCAGTAGAATAAAAAGCATTTCAAACAGATAGAAATGAGGTTTATTACAAATGAAAAACAAGCGTGAGTTTCCCTACATTTGCATTTTAGGAGACCTACTGACTGTTTAGTCTCATTTACTTATAAAATTCAATCAAAATGAAATCTGAGATTTTGAAAGAAGTAAGTTTTCTAAAGTGAGCCTTTTCAAATTAATTTTTTGGAGGGGGTGGGTTAACAAAAGATGTTCATAATCTATAGACCACTGGTTCTACTACACCTAATTTACCGCATGCACTCCTTTCATTACTTCCTTTCCAAAACTCGAAAGGTACATACACACTTATTTAGATATAGATTATTTTCTCAACTGTTTTACAACTTAAACAATAAAAAGTATAGGAAATGCTGATCGAAGAAAAGTTGTTTTTACATTTATGATCTAAAACTGAATGCTCAACAGATAAATAAAACTCTGACAGCATTTCCTTCCTAAAGTTTTCCCCTTGGGAAAAATTTAATTAAAATGAAATGTGAGATATTGAAATAATACTAAAAGAAACACTTTTGTAAATTTGATTCTAAGTTTGGTAAAATAAAAGCTCAAGAATGAGTTCGAGAAAGCAGTTTGTGGTATATGTAGAGTCATTTCCTAAAGGAAAAAATTGGGAAAAGGATAAGTAAATGTACTCGAGGCAGTACTAAGCGTTCTTAAACTCAAAGTGTGCGACTTTTGAAAGGAAGTATAATACCATGAAGATGTGGTTGTGAAGATTACTCAATTTACTTTTATTCCGAAAGACACAACTGCCAACCTTATTAGTCAACCTTAGCGAGTTTAATTATGATTTGATAATGTTAAAGAAGAATGTGATAAATAACTTTTATTTGATAAGCATCTTTTTTATGGACCAGTTAAATTTCGAAAGTAATAAAAAGAATCATATCGAGCTTTTATCTGGAGAGTAAATTTCAAATTTCAAAGGTAAATTATTCACAATTTGCTATTACAATGTAATGTATTAATTAAAAACGAAAAGTATCACATAGCAAAATGCTCTTTCAACTTCCTATTCAATTTATACAGTTTTTAAATGAAACTGAATTTTATAAAATTTTGGAAGGTAAATTATTACTGGCATATTTTAAATTTACATGATCAAAGAATAATTAGAAATTAAAGCACATATACATACGCACTCACGCAAATTTAAGGGAATGCTCCTTTGAAAACACAATCACAGTCAAATTAAACGGACTTTCACAAGCTGCTATTAATAGTAAATCCTCACATTTATGGCAGAAAAAGAAGTGGAAGTGTTTCCAAGCATATTTCAGAAATGTACCATTTCACTATGATAAATTCTGGGATTTACCAGCAAAGCTTAGCGCCTTCTATTGAGGAAAATTCCTCTATAGAAGGCATTATGTTCGTTTTCGTAATGTTTTCCCCAATGCTTTCTGTATAAAATGGTTGCCTCGTCGCCCAACTTTGCACAAAAAATTTGCTACTACAGAAAATAAACCTATGTCTGAACACCCTCGAAATCAATATTGTTTTATTCACAATTGATGCTAAATTAATGTTAATTTTTGCCTGATTTCAGATTTAAGTTATCCAGACAGTAAATTAGTTACGATAATCTTTTCAATTTCAAGGGAAGAAATTATTATTAAAAAAGGTGAGGGACTAAAGAATTTTAAATGTGGAATATTCATTATGTTTTTCTGACTCGTGACTCATTAAAACGACTATGCATGCGGTCAGTAAATGAAAATAAACTCGTATGCATAATTAAATGAATAATTATTAGAAATTATGTCTAATTTTACGAAAAGTATTGAAGAAAAAGTAATAATTATGCTACCGAAGAATTATGCAAATATTCAGCGTCAAATACGTAAGTATACACGTGTGTCTGAGGAGCTGTGGATTGTGAAGGGGATATAAGCGCATGAGGCGTTTTTGGCGATTTGTGTGTTCGTACTCTTTCACGACAATCGCCGTGTTTCTCGCAAGAGTTGGAAAATTTTTCTTAGAAATCAGGCCAAATGAGTAGCCTCGAATGTATGGATGACGAAATGAGACGGAAAATTGTCGGTTGATTGGAGGTGGAACAATGGCCGGTGGCTACAGATTTAAGTATAACGCTCAGTGTGGTCTTCAATTTATGGAAATAGACTCAGGACACTTTATTCATATAGAGAAAACCTGATCAAGTCGATTAAGATCTACAACGACGAATGAGGATCATTATTTGGCACTTTCAGCGGGGCGACACAGGACTGTTACAGCTTCACAGCTCACACGTGGGCTGTATGCTGCCACTAAAACCCGAGTTTCACTGTCTATAGTTGCACGAAAGCTTCATGAGATACGGCTGTATGCCAAAAGTCCCGCTGTATGCGTCCCGCTCACAAGAGAGAACTTTTAGTATGGTGCAGATTACATGTGCCTTGGACTAGACTTCAGTGGAGCACCGTGCTTTTTACAGGTGAGTCGAGCTTCAGCCTGGAGACTGATTCTCGGCGTACTTGTATCTAACGTTGGATGGCCTCACAACCCATCTGACAAAGGTATCTTACAAAGGTTCCCTGACTGCTATAAGGTATAAGGAGGAGATTGTACAGCCCTATGTTCGACTTTTTAGGGACGCAGCTTGTCCCAAGTTCCTGTTAACAGTCAACAACGCTAGTCCGCATAGTGCTCAGCTGGTCGAGGGTTACTTGGAAAGTGAGAAAAGTGGACTGGCCAGCGATATCTTCTGACCTTGCCCTATAGAGTATATCTGGAACGCTCTTAGGGGGCAATTTCATGTCGCCGAGAACCATCCTGGAGTTGAAAACTACCTTGGTGCAGGAGTGGGATCGATTGCCCAGGGACTCCGCAACCGCACGCCGTCACGCTGTGAGCCATTTCTGGCTGCGAGAGGGGACATTATCCCATATTAGACTTATTTTCAGTTCGATATCATAATGTGGATTTTGGGTATCCCTGCACTAAGAACACTGCTGATAATTATGCGTACATAAAATGACTCTTGAATGTTAAATCTCTTTTTCTGTTATAAATGCATATTCATACCAAATTTAATTAAAATCTGTCCTCTAGGTTTTCAGAAATCCGACATAATTTGGAAATTTTCTTAATTTTGCACACGAGTGTACAATACACTAAGTTTACCTGCTTGTTTTCTAATCCACCGAATTGAAATTAAAGCATAGCATGGAAATTGAAGTATAGTATGTATTTCACTGTTTCAGTTTTGACTATGCCTCAGCAGTAGCCGAGCTGTTAAAGACTATTGAATTTCTTTTCCTGGGTTCGAAATGCGGCAAACGGGCTGCCAATATATGGCTGCTTTGTGTGGTTTCCCCCATGCGTAACATGAAATATGAGTCATTTATCCCTAGAAAATCCTTCACGAAGGCATCCCTTCCAGCAGGCAGATAGCTCTGGTGTGCTTTGCAGTAACCCAACAACCCAGCTTCTTC